CTCACAGATGCATCCAGAGAACATCACCAGTGCCTTCCTGGGAAATCTCATCTGTAAACTGCAAAATCTCACGAGATCTCGGGGGAAAGGGCATTTTTCATATGTTCCAAGAGGTGGGCCCAAAGTTGCAGGAAATAAAGGGAGCTGCATTCATCTGCCCTTAGTGAAAATGGCCAGCATGAGAAGAAGGGAGAGGAAAAGTAAAAAATAAGATATGTAAAGAATAAAATCCGGCAATGATCTAGAAGTATCTGCGCGTAGATTGTCATTACTAAACATTTCTGTCGTGTTGTAATTTTGAAGATAAGGGTCAAGTTCCTCTTTAATGGCTAACATGGTACAAGACTCTGCTACTCAGCTCTAAGCTCACGCTACTGAAATCAGCCTCCGGGATCATTCCACACATATCAGTCCAGTGAATGTTTCCTTCTTGAAGCGTTTGCCAAGCCCTGGTGAAGAAGGACCCTTAGAACCCACCAAACGTGTCGGATTGAACCAAAAGGTGACATTTATTGAAAACAACTTTGGGGTTCCACAGAACTCTTCTAGCGCTTTCCTTGCTGTACAGATTTTAATCTCTTCTCTTTGTGGTCACTAGAACAGGAAGTGAAAGACGTTGCCACCCTTCCACCAACAGGATCACAGACAACCATAGAAACCTACAAGAGGATCTAACCCTACCTCACTCCATCCGAAACTGCTAAAAGACATTTGCTGGACGTTCTGTTTAATAATCTGCAAAGCACGCATAGCTCTTCCACGGCTACATGGTCACAACCTTTGTACATTCCAAAAATAATTTTATTCTCAGCATAGATTTTTTTTTTTTATCTGATGCACCCGCAATTCCTAACCAAACAAAACTTGGATTGGCATGCCCACCACCTTAAAGTAATCGGGAGACTCCCACCAGAGCCATCTGTACCCTATAATGTAACAAAGCTACCATCCTTCCCATAGTATAACAATATATTATATATACTGTAGTTTGTTATAAATATATAAGAATGAGGTAGACGTGATGAAAATTTTCCCTTCTTTGGTATCTGATAAAAATGAGCGGGGAGCAAACAGCGGCTATCACACAAGTACCAGGTCCGGTTCCTGCCTATCAGTCTGTGCTCAACGAGGACAATATTGGAAGAGGTGGGTACTTTACATATGTTTGCGTACAGCAGCGGTCGTCAGCTTACAAATGTGGCTCCCCAAAGGGCCCGTATAATATACACAATGCTACAGAAGACTGTCATAGATTGAAGACCTATGAGAGCAAATGGGCACAAACTAGTCTACACTCTACTGGAGTGGTTGGTGACTAGGGGCATGTGTAGGTGACTAGGGGCATGTGTAGGAGTTAGAGACTAGGGGCATGTGTAGGAGTTAGAGACTGGGGGCATGTGTAGGAGTTAGAGACTGGGGGCATGTGTAGGAGTTAGAGACTAGGGGCATGTGTAGGAGTTAGAGACTAGGGGCATGTGTAGGAGTTAGAGACTAGGGGCATGTGTAGGAGTTAGAGACTAGGGGCATGTGTAGGAGTTAGAGACTAGGGGCATGTGTAGGAGTTAGAGACTAGGGGCATGTGTAGGAGTTAGAGACTAGGGGCATGTGTAGGAGTTAGAGACTAGGGGCATGTGTAGGAGTTAGAGACTAGGGGCATGTGTAGGAGTTAGAGACTAGGGGCATGTGTAGGAGTTAGAGACTGGGGGCATGTGTAGGAGTTAGAGACTGGGGGCATGTGTAGGAATTAGAGACTAGGGGCATGTGTAGGAGTTAGAGACTGGAGTCATGTGTAGAAGTTAGAGACTAGGGACATGTGTAGGAGTTAGAGACTATGGGCATGTGTAAGAGTTAGAGACTGGAGTCATGTGTAGGAGTTAGAGACTGGGGGCATGTGTAGGAGTTAGAGACTGGGGGCATGTGTAGGAGTTAGAGACTATGGGCATGTGTAGGAGTTAGAGACTAGGGGCATGTGTAGGAGTTAGAGACTAGGGGCATGTTACCTGAAACTTTTACAGGTCACTTTACAAGTGCTCCCACCACTAAATGCTGGGGTAATCAGGCCGCACTTCAAACACCAAAGGGCCTCGTGGCCCCTGGGCTGTCGGTTGGCATTGGGTAAATATGTCAGCACGGCATTTTCACAACTCCATCATTCTCAATGCTCTCCTCATGTAATATAGAAGAAATAATGTTGGAAGTGAGGATGGGGCAGATGGTCAGTGCCGTGGGGAAATCGGGCTGACTACCGGGTTAGTCTACTTGTTGTAGCTTGGACAGAGTGGGGGAAATTTGTCAAGATGTGAATCAGTCAATGATAGATGCGAGATATGAACCGATGTATACATTGCATCTAATTTCCCTTTATTTCTGGCTGCTGAGCCATCAACTGATCAAAAGGCACCAAATTGATCAGCAGTTGTGTAAGAGTTCTCCCTCTTAAAGGGCGCGTCTCAGATCTATTAAAGGAGATGTAAGCCCAGACTGAAGGACATTAGGGGTCTATTTATAACCAATTCGCTATGCGAGAATTGCAACATTCCCACAACAGCAACGTTCACATTCAACTCAAGAACATTTGATCGGAGCTGTGTGTACTCCCAGTGATTTATATATAGTGTGAAGTGCAGGTTCACTTGATGAGCGAATATTGCCTAATCAGCAAACATTGAACGTACAAGCGCTTTGGTTGGACGAATGGTTATAAATAGTCTTAGCTTGCTGGGGACTGCGCTTCATACCAATCGCCTTTATTTTCTTTTCCCCTTTTAACTGCAATTGACCTTTTTCATCTTTTTTGTTCCAACTCACTGCTGTTGATCACCTGCAGCCACTCCAGCAATGGCAGCATGGACCGTGCCCGTGCAATGTGTGCTGAAATGGGCACATTGTATATGAGGTTTTGGCACCAAATGTCTGGTAACCGTGAGACCCCTTCCTATTATGTTTATTGGGGATTGATTGTCTATTATTTGGATCAGTAAGGGATTGAGATGAGTGAACGGTCCTGGGTTTAGTTTGGTTGCATGTGTGCCGAACCTGACTTTCTGGCAAACTGAACCCAGGACCACCTGTGTCCTAGCAACCAGTGACGCTTGGGGGTTGGCTGCTAGGACGCCAGTGGCTGAGCTACGCAGCATCATTGGTTGCTGGAATGCAGGCGGGTGCACCATACCAACCAATGATGCTGTGGGACCACCAGTATATTAGCAACCAATGATGCTGTGGGACCACCAGTATATTAGCAACCAATGATGCTGTGGGACCACCAGTATATTAGCAACCAATGATGCTGTGGGACCACCAGTATATTAGCAACCAGTGACGCTTGGGGGTTGGCTGCTAGGACGCCAGTGGCTGAGCTGCACAGCATCATTGGTTGCTAGAATGCAGGCGGGTGCACCACACCAACCAATGATGCTGTGGGACCACCGGCGTATTAGCAACCAGTGACGCCGTGCGTCCCCCACAGCATCAATAGTTGCTGGCTGCCCCACAGCATGATAAGTTGTTATGGTGCGCCTAAATGCATCCTACCAACCAATGACACTGTGCGGCTCAGCTACCAGTCAGCCAATGACGCTGTAAGCTTTTAAAGATGCCCTCACTGACCTCTGTAGTTACAGACACTGTGGAGTAACTCACCTTCACAATTTACAATATAAAGCAGTGAAGTTGTTCAAGTCGAATCTCAGCACTCTGCTTTCTCCCCTCTTCCTGCCCACCTTCT